GAGCGCTATTTCAGAAAGAAAGGATATAGAACGATATTTCAAAAAGAAGGGATATAGAACGATATTTAAAAAAGAAAGGGTATAGAACGATATTTAACAAAGAAACGATATTGAGCACTAATTCAGAAAGAAAGGATATAGAACAATATTTAACAAAGAAAGGATATAGAACTAAGCTTATTTCAGAAAAAAAAAACTATATTTCAGAAAGAAAGGGTATAGAGCGCTATTTCAGAACGAAAGGATATAGAACTATATTTAAAAAAGAAAGGGTATAGAACGATATTTCAGAAAGAAAGGATATAGAACTTTATTTCGGAAAGAAAGGGTATAGAATGATATTTCGGAAAGTAAGGATATAGAACTTTATTTCGGAAAGAAAGGATATAGAACGATATTTCGGAAAGAAAGGGTATAGAACGATATTTCAGAAAGTAAGGATATAAGATAAGGTTATGTACAATAAAAACAAACTGAATCTACAATTTTATAAGCTTGTAGTCTTTCTGTCAATAAGAAAAATAACATTTTATTTTTGTTACAGAAAAGCTAAGATAATTAATCTATATGTAGATATGATAGCCGACCATGTTTTAGTTATTATTGAAGAAAGAGCTATACCTTTGTTTGAAAGTGTACAGACAGGGGCCAGAAGTTTGAGGGATGTGATCACGATCAAGGTATGCTTAAACATGAAAATCCACAACGTCTGAAGAATTTAAAACATATTATCTCGATTTTCCGTCAGTTTGCAAACAAATATACGTTTATCTCCCTTTGATTATTAACGCTTTGTGATATTTGCAACGGGTGCTATCATCGGACCAGGGCTACTCTTTTAGAACACTTAGTGCCATTCTGTATCTTGTACTGTCAACTGAAAATAACTTTTACAAAGTCTGCATAGCTTATAATGATTATTTGATATAATTTTTGCAATTCAAAAACGTTTCAGGAACATAGAATGGTGATATTTGATTCATTTGTACGATTGACAGATATCCTTAAGATTGAAGACTATCCATGGACTATATATTATTCACAGCGCGGTTTGGGTGAACTAGGCAACTATTGTATTAAAGGCCTGGTGTATGTATCTTTTAGAGATTTCAAAACTTATTATTTTCTTCCTTTATATTCATTGTTATGTGGACTGCGTATTCACAAAGATGTCCATTACATGACTGTGTATCCGTGCACGAATTTCTATATATAATATGATATGAATACCATTAAAGGGACAAGTGCGCCATTTGTTTTTACCAAGCGCACTAAAGTCTCAGAAATGGCAATTTTTATTAATACTTTTCACAGCTCACCGTTGAAATTTGAGCCTTCAAATCAACCTCCCAAATCTGTCCCTTTAAAAGATAAATTGAGACATTTTATAGAATATGTTTGCGATATCAGCATCCGCTGGAAGCGAACGTAACTTGTCATCTACCTACCTACCTAGAAAATCTATTTTATAACCACAGGTATCTGAAATTTCCCAAATTTATTTTTTAACTAGGAAATGAGTAGGATTAGTAGGGAAACTTCAAATACCTGTGATATAACATTGTGGCCTTGCAAATGAAATCGTTTATATGATATAATGACAAATACAATTTCTACTCTAAATTTAATAGCAAAGCATCGTGACCTTTTATAGAAATCTCAATATTTAACATTGTGACCTGCATATGAAATCCATTATGTAAACTTGTGACAAATAAAAATTCTCATCTAAATTTGATAGACGTTTAGAAACTCCCATTATGAAATAGAGCACTGTGACATTGTATGGACACTTAATATATTAATCGTTTTGTATCGTAACCTGTGTAGAAAAACGTTTTTTTAATTTTAGAACTGGAAAAGATTTAACAGAGAGTGAAATCAAGATTTTGATAGATTTTACCACAACTGTCTTAAAAGGAGATTTCATAGATAAGGATGAAAATAGTCCTGGTGGTGTATTTTATGATCTTTATTTACAAATCGGCGGTATTTTGAAAGTGGTATGTACATATATATAAAGATAGCTTGCCAGGCAAGGTAATATACGCCCACTGGCAGCTTTGATTTTGAATAAAAATATTTAGCAGTACAATAACAATCACCAGTATGAAATATTCAACCTTCAGTCATACACTTCTTTTAAACTCTTCTTTTAGCACAACACTGAATAATATTGAGTATGAGTTATTACCCTAGTTCTTGAAAACGTGTTCAATCTTTAGCTCGTGAAAACTCTAGAAGGCAAATATTCAATCTTCAGGATTGAATAATAAAACCAAGTTTTGTCAAAATCCAGAAAGAATCATGCCTTTTAGTGTTTAATTTGAAAGCGGTTTCAAGAAGAAGGGCAATAACTCATACTTAATATTTTTCAATTCTTCTGATTTTCATAGGGTTCATCCTTGGGTGATAACAAACACTCATGCCAAGTTTCGTCAAAATCCGACAAGAATTGTCCCTTCTAGAGTGTTTACAAGCTAAAATTTTAACGCGTTTTCAAGAACAATGGCAATAACTCATACTAATTATTTTTCAATTTTTCAAAATGGTTCATCCATGGGTGATAACCAACACTCATGCCAAGTTTCTTCAAAATCCGTCAAGAATTGTGCCTTCTAGAGTGTTTACGAACAAAAAATTGAACGCGTTTTCAAGAACAAGGGCAATAACTAAAACTAAATATTTATCAATTTTTCTGATTTTCGATAGGGTTTATCCTTGGGTGATTACAAACACTCACACCAAGTTTCGTCAAAATCCATCAAGAATTATGCCTTCTAGAGTGTTTACAAGCCAAAATTGAACGCGTTTTCAAGAACAAGGGCAATAACTCATACTAAATATTTTTCAATTTTTCTGATTTTCGATAGGGTTTATCCTTGGGCGATAACGAACACTCATACCAAGTTTAATCAAAATCCGTCATGAATTGCACCTTCTAGAGTGTTTACGAGCGTTTCAAGAACAAGGGCAATAACTCATAGTAAATATTTTTCGATTCGTCTGTTTTCAATAGGGTTCATCCTTAGGTGATTACAAACAACCATACCAAATCGAAATCAGTCAAGAATTGTGCCTTGTAGAGTGTTTACGAGCAATTGTGGACGGACGGACCGACAGACAGACGAATCATTGGAATGAGGTGACGGCAATATACGCCCCCCCATTTTCATGTGGGCGTATAAAAATTACACAACAAACTAATATATATTAACCGTGTTTCAAGTTTTTTGTGTGCCAATATCATGAAATGTTTCCTGTTGGTCGAAGATCTTGTACATAATATTTGCTGCCAGAAGATTTTATTCAAACTAATTAAATACATATCGAACATACATATTATATTATAGTTATGCATTTCACCGCGTTTTTTTTATATGGACATGACCGATTGCAGTAAGAAAATTACTTTTATGTCAGCTTGCAGATAAAGATGAACTAAGAAAAAATCCCCAAATCATCAAATTATTTTTAAAAACTTTGACGCACGATGATGATGGTATTTGTCAACGAGGAGCCATGCTTTTTAATGAGCTTGGAACAAAGGCAGCACCTGCTCTTGCTCCGTATTTGGGAGTCATCTTAGAGGCCTTTTTGGACAAGCAACAAAGCCACCTGTTGTGTAAGTATACAAAAACTATAAAGAAAATCTTTTGAAGAAAATTTAAACCGAAACTAAATGAAAAACGAACATGGTTTGTGTCATCATACTCAAAAAAAGAAACTACAATGATTTTAAGAATGAGCACGAAGATAATTATTGTGAGAACTTGGAATCCTTACAATGACCTATTTCATGAACTAATAATTATCCGTTGAACAAGTTTCATATTATCATTTCATATTATTATTATTATTATTTCATATTCATATTTTTCATATAACGTTCTGTGTGTGTGTTATTACCTCAGAAGAAGCGTTGCTCCTGATTATGTTTACTAATTCAGATAATTTACCAGCTATTTACAATGAGAACCCCGAAGCAATGAAGGATTATTTCCAGAAGCTGATAGACCTGATTGAAGATGCAGACAGTAATATTATTACAACTATTTATATGTTATTGACTGCTATCGCTAAAAAACAACCAATGGTTCGTAAACCGTTCATATCTTTTATTAAATTCCTGAATAGCATAAACAAGCAAATATCGTTCTTAATCGTAGTTAGTCTTTTCAAATTTAAAATAAATACGGCGGAATAATTCCTGAAACTGTTGTTTATCCATTCACAAACACCCCATTCCACCTTAAACAAGTCCCTCGACAGAGATTGACCTTAGTTCTGATCGTATTGTTTGAGTCTGAATGATTACAAACACAACAAAAAACATTCGAATTCAACCCTAATCTTGTATCAAGGTTTTCGTTTTTCATATTATAGCATTTCTATTGCTTATCTTGGAATACATGAAATCATACATATTATAATAAATCCTAGTAATATCCAGTTGTATAATACAGGTTGAACACGAGCCTAAATTGGAAGACTAGTAGATCATATTTTTGCATTTCAGTTATTTACTGAAGCTAACGTAGAAATGATAGTTGACAATATGTACAATGGGGACCCACAATACAGTAATTATGGTATTACAACATTGGAGCCCTTGGCGTCTAAGCGTTCAGCTCTGTTCTTAAAACAAGTTGATAAGTTTATTACTAAAGCTTTCAATGAACATTACTACTACTTTCTATTCAAAATATTGGGATATATTGCTGCCAGGAACGGCGAGGTGAGTAATTGAAAGAAGTTTAGTGTTTAAAGTACATTGTAAGACGCCCAACTTTTCTACTTATTGGTCTAATAAAGACGGACGATTACAGGTACGGTCGCCCTAACACACCTTAGCGAAAGCCATGAAATGAGCATTTAACAACTATTGTGGCGATGGTTGCCTTATTCACGATGAGACAAAAGTCAGAGTGAACGATCAAAAATAATTATGATTGTTTTTTCTGTTCTAGAAAGTAGCTGAAAAGATTCTGGAGTATTTCATGGATTTTACCAAAACTAACAGCGATAACATTAAAGAGATGTACATAATCCAAGAGATAAAAGGAATTACCTTTAAATACAAAGATCTGGTCACAAAACATAAATCTTTCGTTGTAAATTTAAGGCAGAAAACTTCAGAAATACATGTGAAAGACGGATGTAATGCAATTATTGACTTCTTAGAAGGCAGGAGGTTGGTTCAGGCTTTAATTTCCTTTATTTCTATGATGTTAATTAATCGTTATATGTGAAGATAATTTCATGGGAATTTAAGTTCAGATGCCATTTTCTTCTGAAATTTCCCATTTGTATTCTTCTAATAAGTCTGTCATAGCCGTAACGTAAACTATTGTACTTTCAGTTTGGATTCACTTAAAGATGAATTGGCCGCACAACAAGAAGACATTGACAATCTGGATGTTCGTGTCACCAGCAATGAAAAGAATATAACTATAGTCACGAAGGAAGTGACAAAACAGAGAGTTGATATCACTAACATTAAGCAAGATGTCAAAGGTCAAGGAAAGAAGCTGGATAAACTGGGGAATGTTGTGAAAGCAACAGTTACCAAAGTTGAAGAAATTGATTTAAAGGTTTGCTCAGATTTCTGCCAGATCTATGAAGTTTTACATAAATGTAAAATTGGATCATTCAACGGAGCCACAAATGTCTCTCAAAATAAGATATTTGGCATTCTTTTATTTTGGTGGTGATCTTAATGTTCTGAAGATATTTTATACATTCACCGAAATGAAACCATGATTAATCTGCAGAACAAAGATGTATTTAATTAAAGGCTATCTTTTATTTTTTCTAGACCTTAAGTCATGCTCCATATTGGTCCAAAGATGTTTCTAAACTGCTGAACCCAAAGTCTGAACATGATTGGCGATTATTATCGAGCCGACTGGGTTATTCCAAAGACGATATACGAGCCTGGTCTCAACAGTCGGATCCTTGTATGGCAATGTTGAATGAATGGTATACAACACATAAAACTAGTGAAGCAAACTACGGACTGTTGACAGCTTTACAAGAAATGAGTAGGATGGACGCTGCTATTATTATTGAGAATGGAATGAAGGCATCAGGTATATCAACTTCCATTTTTTAAAATATTACAACTATAAAGCGGCTGGTCCAAGCCGAACTGCCAGTACAAGATTAAAGTAGTTTATATAAGTAAAGCCAAAAAACAAGAACATCTTATACAAATTCTTTATAATCCTTTATCTGTTGATATGTAAATGATTAGAATCGATAAATATGTATGTACTTGGAGAGGATACTAACCCTATTAAATCAAAATCGCCTTCTATAGTGGTATTGGTTTCTGACATTTATCTTATAGGCTAAACATCTATATGTTTCAAGCATACGATTTCAGTCAGGTCGCTTCCATTGTTCATATGATTAAAATTGTATTTGGAAACACGTGTTTGAAGCATGAGACGAACTCAGATATCAACTAGAGCTATGAACTGTATAGAATTAAACCATTATTCAGAATAATGGAGTCTAATCCGTTCAATTAATGATATATTTAGAACCAGTTGTAGAGGATGAAGAGTTTGACTACATCACACCACCTTCAATATTTCTCAGTTATCAATGGGGTCACCAGGAAGAAGTGAAGCTACTTAGAAATCATCTAGAGATGGCCGGGTATTCATGTTGGATGGATATTGGTCAGATGGGTGGTGGTGATAAACTTTTCGAAAAGATTGATAAGGGTATTAGAGTAGCTAAAATTATTATTAGTTGTACTACTGAGAAGTATGCTCAATCTCCAAACTGCAATCGAGAGGTAAGGTTTTTTGAGCTGTTATTTTTTTGAAGCTTGAAGACTTCATTTACTATCACTAGCCTACTATAATTACTATACTCGATCTTAAAATCAGCAGGGCATTCTAAAACCCTCTGGCATGATTGACGGGATTTTACGAATGGGGTTGCGGGGCTCAGTCAATATACATAATAATATTTATTGACTGGCATTTTTACTTTAAATCTAATAGGATTAGAATTGAAATTGAAAAATCCGCTTACAATACTTGATTGTTAAACGGGACATTCCCATATATTTGTAGGGTTTTGTTTTTGCTCTAATTTGTAAGAGAAATGTACCATTTAACGTATCTAAAGTTTTAAGTAAAATATCCAGCCATTAATTTTTAAACTCCAAAAATATTTAACGAGTGGTTGCCCAGCAATATACGCCCAATTTCCTGATACATTTTCAGTATATCAAGGGTGGTCATCAATCTGTGTCAAGTCGAACCAAAAATCTAATCTGTGCAAGATATTGTTGATTTAAACAAACGCACATTATTTAATAAAATTCTGACATAAACTGTCACCTCTATCGCGTTAACAAGCCAACAAATTTTGATGCGTTTTTACTAAGTCAAGGGAAATAACCCAGATTCCGTTGATCAAAAAATCGTCAAATTCAATCTTGACTAAGATCTCATCATTATTAATGATCATACCAAATTTCATTTAAATCGGATGAAAACGGTAGTCTCTATTCCGTTCACAAACAAATTTTGATGAGTTTTTCACAAATCCAGGGCAATAACTCATAAATCGTTCATCGAAAGATAGTCAAATTCGAACTTGTCCAAGATCTCATTAATATAAATGATCACACCAAATTTCATTCAAATCAGATAAAAACTGTTGTCTCTATTGCGTTCACAAGCCAATTATGGACGGACGGACGGACGGACGGACAAGGGGCGACGACAATATACGACCCATAATAATGTGGGCGTATAAAAACATTACGTAAGATTTTGAAGTTCGTTATGCTTTTTGGAAGCTGTTAGAAAACTAGTTTACGGATTCTAGTAAACCCCTAATTTTAGAGAAATATGTCTACCACGTATTCTTAAGGTTTCAACTAATAATATTGAGCCATTATAAAGCCAAATACCAAAACTAGGTCAAACTGCTTAAGAAACAATTAGTACTCTCCGTTTTTATTTAACCTTTTAAAAATAAATTCAGTTTGATAAAGAATATACATTATAAATATGTTCAGGTATAATTTACGACGTTTTTGATCATGGATTTTGTTTTTACAAAAAAAGCAGAATACCCCTTTTAACACTTCTTCCTTTTGCGTAGTTCGTTAGTGATTTAAATATAAATAAAAAATTAATTAATCTGAACGATGTACAATGTATTTTTCATCTTTTTCTTTATATACAGGTGAATTTGTCTGTAAATCTAAAGAAACCTATCATACCATTATTATTAGAAAGCTGTCCTTGGCCACCTAAAGGTTCAATGGGTCCAATATTTAGCGAGTATCTCTATATACAGTTCTATCAGACTGAAAATGATGAAGCTGCACCAGATGATAGATTCTGGCCAATACCAAAATTCCAGGAGCTCTTGATGCAGCTTAGTATGAATGGTGTCCAACCAGATGAATCTCGTGTATTTAAATGTAAGTTCAATATCCTTGACCTGATTTGTCCCTCTGTTACCACGGATGAAACCCTCCCACATAAAGTAAAATCTAGGATTCAAGAACCTTCCCTTTGGGAAATTTATTCTAGTCCAATTATGACGTCATTTTATACAAGATTGCATGCAGATCGAACGGCGTTCTGGCTTTGCATCATCGATTAGAGTTGATTTTAAATTTGTCTTGTTTGCGTTGAATTATGATATACAAGTCATAAAACATGGAAAAACTCTGGAAACACATAATGTGATCATTGCACTATTATTTACATAATTTAAAACCTTTTTGTGTTTACAGTATATCGAAACTGGTGGAAACCTCTTGTTGATGAACTAAAAATTGACAAATCAAAAACATTCGAAGGTGGAAAACATAGGAAAGTCGTCGAATCTTCAGAGAAAAGGGAGGTATAACATTTACTTGAAGTCACTCTGCGACTGGATTTTAAACTCAACACCAATTTTGCATATTCCACATAGCTAATATTATATGCATGGTATATGTAGTTTTCATTAACCTATTTAATGTTTTTGGAACCACTTGCAATACTTCATGTTGATTAGAGATTGAAATACGTGTAAACTTATGCACTCTAAATGAACTAAGCTTTGGAATCAGAGCTATTGTGACATACTGGCAAGTTCTGCACTTGCTTTGGTTCTAATGATCGTACCCATTGGTCAATGGTGGACTACTATCCTTCTTTTGTTTTAGGACACAAAGTCGCCAGCTGTTTTCATATCCTATCAGTGGGATAAACAGAAGAATGTGATGAAGTTATATAAGAAATTAACAGAATTGGGATATCACTGTTGGATGGATATCTATCAAATGGGTGGTGGTGATTCGTTGTATGATAAAATAGATCGCGGAATTCGGGGATGTAAAGTTGTTGTATCTTGTGTCACTGACAAATATTCACTCTCATTGAATTGTAGACGTGAAATTAGTCTTTGTGATTCCTTAAAACGCCCAATCATACCCCTTCTGTTAGAGAATATACCGTGGCCACCAAAAGGCCCAATGAGTATGACTTTTACTCAGTTGTTGTACATTGATTTACATTCAAATGATAACGTTCAGGAGGAATGGTCTGGGACTAAATTTGACGAGTTACAGTCAAAATTGAGAGAAATATTACCAGACCAAACCAGCAAAACAAACGAAAAGCAAAAATCCAAAGATATATCAGAATCAGAAGAGATAGTGAAAGGAACAAAATCGACCCATTTAGAAAAGCCAAAACCTCCTCCCATAACCGGTGAAACCAATAAAAGCCATGAAAATCAAACAAAAATGCATTTGTCGACTAATTCAAGTAACGTCAAATCTGCTACTCCAGGATCAAAGTTCGGTGATACACCAAAAGTCAAACGATTTGTCCCACCGCCGCCGCCGATACAGTCAGATGTGGAACATGAGAAGAGTACACCTGTACCAGGGCAGCCATCATCAGATACACAAGTTCCCCACACACATCCTCCCCCTAAAAATTTTAACGAGCAGTACCACCAAGCTCATAATTTTAGTAACCAAGAAAACAACAACGATTCAGTAAAATCTAAATCTTGTGTGATTTTGTAATTTATGTAATACATAACGAAGCACATAATTGAAAAACGTGTATTGATTTGTAATAATGGAATGTCCCAGAAAGAATTGTAAAATGTAACGTTATTGCACGTCCTTAGGACTCTTAGTCACATTTACGTTGAAGTTGATGTAAAACAATGTTGATCAAAAATCTATATAATGATATACCCGACTTAATTTTACAAATGTGGTCAACCATGAAAACGATATAGTTATTCTCAATTATTAAATGCATTTTTTTTTTTGTTAAATCAAAACGATATATTATATCAGTATGTGTTATTGCAATATAATATGCTTAATATGCCATTCTGCTTTGACCATTTGCTCAGCTTTCAAGAAGAAATATTTCTGTATCGATCTATATCATGGTCCCTTTTTTCAGTCGTTGACTTCGATCTCCGATTAATCTCAAAATAAGCAACTTAAAAGCAAAGAATGGAGAAAGAAAGTCGCTCGTCCGGTTTAATTTGCCTTTAAAGGGATATAGTTGTCTAAGATAGTTCCCTTTCCATCCAACATATTTCCATTTCGGCTGTCCTTAGTGCTAATCGTAATGGCAATTCTGTATGTGTCTGTATTTTTAAGACAAATTTACGGACAGAATTGACGACAGTCCAAGTATCCAGGCCGGTATATAAACTTTCTTGTGTGCATTAATTACTGGTGGTAATATTATGAGAGAAATCATGTTTTGAATGGAATGTAAATAACTGCTCGGATATTTAGGCTATCGTCAATTCCGTTTGTAACTGTGGATTCCAGTTTAACAACGTTGGATTGATTTGATTTTATTCTGAAAGCTTTTTAAGTTCGAAAAGCAGATATTTAGACGATAGACGACTATACCACTTTATGGGTATTATAGAATTAAAATCAACGACAAGACTCACAAAACAGCGTTGTCGTGTTGTGAGGATTTATATGGATTCTGTAGTCAATCGACACTGTTGCTACAGCTACTGAACTTTAAACTGTTGAACTAAAAATTTGAAGTCTTTTTTTCTTGATTTAAATTGTCCAACTTTTCGACTTGGATCAAATCAGTTCAAAACAAACGTCGTTTTATTTCAAGATGAATTTTTACAGTTGTTATATGTTAGTCATCATACTTGTAAAATCAAGTTGGTCTCATTTAAATGGTATATGTAAGGATAGCGTATACATGAAAATGCCATATTCAGGAAATCTAATACTTGACTACTTCTCTTTAACCAATGAAGAAACTGTTGAGGATTGTCTTGAAAAATGTCGAAACCATGAAACTTGTAAATCGGTTTCTCTATACGTCAGCAACAGCTCAATGCAATGTTACTTGTATGGAGGCCGAATTTACGTTGGCAGCCGGCTTTGGGTGGCCATAGTTTTATTTACTATACATCTTAGATACAGTAAGGATCCTACCAGTAAAATATATAGTAAATATTATTCAATACTTTATTATTTCAGCTGAATGTCCTATACATCTTGGATACAGTGAAGATCTTACATGTAAAATATATAGTAAATATAATTCAATAGTTGTTTTATTTAAGCTGAATGTCTTATACATCTTAGATACAGTAAGGATCCTACCAGTAATAAATATAGTAAATATAATTCAATACTTGTTTTATTTCAGCTGAATGTCCTATACATCTTGATAATAGTGAAGATTCTACTAGTTAAATATATAGTAAATATAATTCAATACTTGTATTATTTCAGCTGAATGTCCTATACATCTTGGATACAGTGAAGATCCTACCAGTAAAATATATAGTAAATATAATTCAATAATTGTATTATTTCAGCTGAATGTCCTATACATCTTGGATACAGTGAAGATTCTACCAGTAAAATATATAGTAAATATAATTCAATAATTGTATTATTTCAGCTGAATGTCCTATACATTTTAGATACAGTGAAGATCCTACTAGTAAAATATATAGTAAATATAATTCAATAGTTGTATTATTTCAGCTAAATGTCCTATCTTGGATACTTTGAAACTTTCAATAGTCATGCCTGCATTAAATATAATTCCACACACATTGAATGGGACGAATGTCAGCAACAATGTGAAAGAGATGGTGGTCATCTATACATGGCAAATTCGGCTAATAAAATAAGTGACCTAAGACTTAACTATTATCATACAGGTAAAAATTGTCATGTATTGCCATGGATTCTATCGTGGGTGTTTCATTAAAGATTGCAAATAAGTTTATAACCAATGTTGTCTTAATCAGTTGATCTTAAATATTATTGTCTGTTGTCAGCTACAGAATTGAACACATTGATTATATATACAAATTAATGTAATTGTAACCACTTATCGTCGATTATGGATAAGTTACAGACAAGAACGAGAATTTCATTTCATTCCAATTATTTTTTAGCAAGGGATGTTGGAAAATAAGGCATGGCATAAAAATATTGCACGAGGGGATTGGGGATTGATACTACGAGTGAGCCTGTAGACACGTATGCGGTTCAACTTTTATTACATAATCAATTTGACCTACGTTGTGTACCTCGCCGTTGGATTCACCTGGGATGTGATGTTTACAAACATAAGATCACGACTTAGGGAGATCCCTAAAGTCTACACTGCAACATAATTTGGCCTAAAAAAGGCAATAACGCTATTGCTTGTGGAAATTATAGCCCACTCAAAATATGGTTTAATGATAATTCATTGTCATTTGTACTGTTATATGCTGGCACTGCAGCTTTGAATTCGCTAAGCGAAATTATAAAACAAAAGTGGCGACTCAATCATTCGAGTCGAGTCGAGTCGAGTCGAGTAGAGTAGATTAGAATAGTTCGACCTATTCAACGTATGTGTTATATGGATTCAATTATTACATGGACCCGATTTTATTTGTATTGGTATAGTAGGATTACACTTCTTAAATGACCTTTACAACTAAACAAAAATATAAAAAAGAAGAATCTTGTACATGTTTTGAATCGTCCCAGAATGTGCATAAATATCTTTACTCGCAATAAGACTGTGTTTTGTTTTGGTTTCTTTTATATCATTCTGTTTTTATAGAAATATCAATCTATCTTTAAGGAATGGATTTATTTACCTTTGTTGGAGCAACAGGCCAATCTGAAGAAGGGGTTTGGAAATGGTTAAATGGCGATGCGATTACTGAGTTACCCTTTAATCTCGATAACATACATGAAATGCAACATTGCATGGTGTTAAAATATGGTGTCAATTTTTCTTTAGATGACCAGGATTGTAACAAAAAATATGGTTTCGTTTAAGAAATTCCAACTGTAAATGCATATAGTCTAAGTTTGTATAGTGTCAAATCAACGAGGTGAAATAGATCTATTATTACATGAGATTGAAATGTATATGGATTAATTTAGCTCTCATGAAACAAAATTGTATCTGTTATTGTTAGCACTTCTAACGTCAGCGTGGTAAATCGCCAGAAACACCATACAAAACCAATTCACATACTGCGCTGGTAGCGCACACTTCAGCCAAATATACTGTTTTGCCAAATAATTGTCACAAGAATAAGAAATCTTTGTCCTATGATTCATTTGTTAGATATTTGATAGTTTAATACTTTAAACGCCGTGGATAATCGGAAAATAGAAACATATAACAGTACCAGGTTGTTTCATCAAGAAAAGAATCATATATAGTTATTGTAACCTATTTCTCATTTATCTCTTCCAACCATATTTTCGCCGTGTCAGGATTCCAGGTCATTCCCCACCAATGAGTATGAGATAGGTCGCCATTCCAAACACCATCAGAAACCATATTAATTTTTCCTAAAGGGTTACACAGAGAACAAAACTGTGGATGAAACCACCAACCGATACCATATACAGCAGCACAGTTGACTGTATCATTCTGGTCTTGGTCATTGTCGAAAGTAGAGAATGAGGTTCCTATAAGATCTGATAATAAACACGTGTCGAGCTCGTTTCTAATTTGATTTCCAAGACTAAGTAATCTATAGCCAGTTGATTCGTTGTCAATTTTAAAATTATCGTAACCATTTGCGAGGTATTCATTAGTAGTGGGATTCTTCATTTCGATAAAAATCTTGAATCGTGAAGACTTAGTTATGTAATGCAGACTGCTCAATCCGATCCAGTCTGAATCAGTACTGCTAAATCCAGTTTTATATTCTTCCCATGACATATTGAATACAACGCCAGGGTCATAGTGTTGCATTACTATTGTACGTGCTCCCCATGCCATTCTACAATTAACCTGAAGTGGTCCTGGTGCATCCTTTGGTAATACAGTAAACTTGCGAAATTCACCTTTATAATACCAATACTGACAGCCTTCTGCACACCCTACAATAGACGTAAGAATATCGAAAGCGATATTGATATTATCTTTAGGAGATAGAGACTATTACTGAATGTGTCAATCAGAAAAGTTCAGATGTTATAAACATTTAACACTATTGGTACCATTTCTATGCATCAGAGATAGTTCGGTAACACCTGAACAATCAACAGTTAAAAGAACGGCCTATGAATCTTACCTGTCATTAAGCGTTTACATTGTGTTCCGACATAACTATTAACACAATTACAAGTTAAGGTGGTTGTATTGAATTCCCCACTATTGTAACAAGTCTGAAAAATCACATAATCATTTTAGAAAAATATATATATATATCTACACTGGATTCTGCCAAAATCATCTCCATGTAAAATCCGTTTTCATTAAATAGTTTTAAAGAGACAGATGCGCCAATTTTTTTTACTAATCGCAGCTTACCTCAGCTAAGCTAATAAGTAACAATGTTCACAGCTCACCGTCAAAATTTTAGCCTTCAAATCCATGTGTCCAGAATTATAAGCGTTTGCAAGTTAAAAAGATGAGTCATCTTTTCTTGAGACACGGTCATATCAACCACCCAAAATGGCACATCTATCCCTATATATAAATCTATAGACACTTTTAATAAGATTTTTTTGGCACTAAGATTAACAACCCTCTAAACATTCCAGTTAGGTTTGCGCGATTCATTCATAGGTTCAAAACGATATACTGAAATGACTACTAGAATTTGATGTAGTGTAAGTATTGATAACGTTTTCGGAATTGGATAGTGCCTTACCTTTTCTGCATTTTCAAAATATAACACATTCGACTGACTTTCAGCATTGCTACAATCTGATTTCATAACTTTTTTATGAAGATGACATTTTTTCTTGTCTGTGAAGTAATTGTATGAAATACAGAGAACGTTGTTAGAACAGTACTTGGCACATTCTAAATTACTCAACACACTGACTGTCAGAAATCGCAAAGACGGGTCTAAAACTTGATTACCACAAGTTAAATGTGGAGTATAACGATTCCACGTTACAGTTACATCTAGTAAAGACATATTTCTTATGAGAAAACATAAATAAATCCATCTGCCGATCCATCTGTACATCTTTAACCAATTGCTTATAATCTATGACTATGATTTGCGATGTACAATTGAGGTAAATGAATAATCTAGTCCTTGTTATTGAATAATCGAGCTGAAATATTATTCTAAGAAGCAGCATATTAAATTACAATCGAACTTGAATATAAACAAAATTTATACAGTTTTTTTAAAGTAGGTCTGGCTGAGGTATTGTGCACGATCCTAGGAGATGGTTGTTGATGTTTTTGGAAGTCCATTTCTGTTTTCTGATTTTCTCAGTTTGGTAGTGCTTTTGTAGATACTATACGCCGTACATTTTATATATGAATTGTGATATACCGTAATTCAATATGCGTAATGTATGCACTTAACCTAATTGGTGAGATATGAACTAATACGAATTTGATGACCGTTATTTAGATATGGTATATGTTAGGTTTCGATTCCATCGTTATATCGATATAAAACAATCAAAAAAATTTGTCTCAACTCAAAGTAAAAAAAAAGTTAATTGGCGTCGACTCTCAATTCCACTTCTAGATCACAACTCACCCACTCCGTACAATGTAAGCTTAAATGTTATGTGGGTATATGTTTGACTGAATTTTACAAATCCTGATTTTAGAGTGTTACAAATATACCTAAATAAAAGGTTATGACCACTTGCAAGACACCTCCGTACTGGTTCAACTGAGGCAATGTGGCTGTTATTTTGCAAAAAAACTTCAATTGATTAAAATGAGAATTTCATATTTTGATTCTTTTTATATGCTGTTTTATAAACTGTTTTAGCGATATGAGTAGTTTTTTTTTTAAAATAAATTTCTGACATTATTAACCTCTTTATTTACGACCTAATCAAACAAGAAAAATATATGAATCTTAGCTAGGTAAGACAGCGGTGACAAGCCTATCTAAAATTCAGCACAATTGATTATTTACCAAAAATACATCAAACACATGAAATATTGCTACTAAAAACGAAGCAGATTAATTTGTCTTCCCCTTATGATTTCCTTTGAAGATGACTGTTTTTTTAAGTATCAGCACATTAAGCGTTTGAAAAATTAGCCCATCATAATATCCAACACTCTATGTCATTTTGTGGATCCCAAGTGCCACTTAACCGCAAATTAATCAAAGAATAGCACGACCCTTACGAAGCCTGAGGTTGTTTTATATATTTGTTTCCGGTTATGTGTCTCTGTAATAAATTCAGTTCTGGACAGAATGGGTAACTTGGCCACCTTTTAAGTCGAAAAGAGTTTCAGGGACCATGGTAGAACCTAATTAAGTATCCCACTGCATTTAAATATAAGCTTACCTATCGGTTTTGTCATTAACACTGTAAGATTTAAAACCCTTTAATTATATACTAGTACATTACTTTAATGTGGTAAATCGACGTTATCACCAGATTATTGGTGGATATTCAATATTTTATGTTTATATAAAAAAAACCGCAACAGGTTATCAAAATATCTTCTAAAAATGCAATCGTTTAACAGTTTACAAAGTGTTTATTTCCATTAAACTTTTATGAGTTCGAAAACTTTTATTTGTGATGAATTTATTATTTATGATTTCCAATACTCCTTAAGACACTAATCGAAGTCATTCTTCGAACTACGATTGTCTGGTATTTATTTACATTACAAATCAGAGAACATTTACCAATAAAAAAACATAGCCCCGTGTGCTGTGAAAAAACGAAAAAGAGCAGGCTAATAACGCTGTCCTGGAAAAATTTGTATCATTGCAGCATACATGGCGTTGTCCGTCTTCATTAGCCCACATGGTGCAGAGAAGTTGGACTTAAAACTCTTATATTCAGAATGATATATTTTCTGATCACAATTTTGACACTTTTGAGAAATCACTGTGTGTGTTCATCGCTACAAAAACCAATGAAAATTATCCAATCACCTAAAAAATCGATAGACACAGGTTTTACCATCTTTGCATCAATGTAAGCTAAAAATTAAACAACCCGAAAATTTTTGTTACAGTTGGAGCTTTCTAGAGAGCTATATATCTGAAAGATGCATCAAGGATGCATCGTGGGCCTGGCCTCCTTGAAAATATTAAGACAAACCGTATGTTGTTTGTTGAATATACTTCATTGCCGTTGATGCAAAAACATCCTCAAATGACTTTTCCAGCCATAAAAAATGTATGAAGAAATTAACTTTGTCTCTGAAAGCATACATATTTAATCTTTCCAAGAAACACTACCACGTAAACTTGGATCTTCTGTTTAAAAATGAATTTATCTGGTATATTCAATTTCCTTATTTTTTCAATAAAATCGGTAGTGCCAATGGCAGTAAAAAGTGGTCAATGAATTCGGAAACTTTGTAGCATGCGCTGCAACAGTCAGAAAAAATCGGTCTGCCCTTAGGCATGAGTCGGAGTCAGGATTTTTGTGAATTTTTGGTGAGGTATAAATGAGGCGTTGACCTACTTCCATAATAATTAATTGATCTAGTTCGCGGTGGTGATTTGAATTGTTTAATTGAGTTTCCAATTCTAACATATGGTCATCTCGATTTTCAATGACCCAATTGCCCTTGTCACTTTTATGGATTATGATAGTGCGATCGTTTTTCAAAATGGTCAAAACAGAGCGTTCAAAATTGGTAAAGTTGTTCTTTTTATTTATCAGTGGTAAACGGCAAACTTCTTCGTTTAGACTATCGCATTCAATCATAATATTATGGCCACTCGTTTAGTTTAAATTATTTAGAATAAATAGCTTTGGCAGTGGAGGCCATCCTGTGGATGTGATAAAAAAAACCAATCATTCCATTGAAACGGGGAATAGTTTTCGCGTCGAATGAAGGCTTGTGATATAAAAGGTCGTTAAATCTTCTAAGGTTACTAACTCAAGTCCATCATTCGACTTTGGATTCACAAGATACCTCTCTGTCGTTCAATCCAATATGAAATAAAACCTTCTTTGGAATAGTAGATTGAGAAATCTTAAAAAAATTAAATGGTACCCGGAAAGGATTCGGCTTCTGTATCAGGATCAATAGCTGGGATATTACAGATGTTGGAGGAACCAATGATAAGGGTTGGTTTCACTAATGTAGGTAGAGACCATTTGGTTTTATCTTTTTGGTTATTGTTGCGCCTTGGTTTACATGGAGATTGCGAGTTTCCTAAACTCAAACCGCAGCGGGTTTTGGTTTTAGGCTGTGGGGTTTCTGGATTTAATTTTGGACTGCATTTTTGTGGTGTTGGTGTGGAAGGGGGAATCAGTTTGGTGATGAAATGGTTGGTATGGTACTAGTATTAGGTCTTTTGTTCGGTGTCGGTGGAGGTCCTGGGTAACTGTGTTGATGATGGCGTGCGTTTCCGCTTTGGTGGGACGACGGTGGCGTGATGGCTTCTCTCTGTGAGATTGTTGGCAGGTAGACTTCGAGGAATACCCAGGACACCACACTTTCAAATTATCAATGATTCGCGCGAACTGATGTATTGTTTCTTTTTGTAGTCGTCGATGACTTTTTTTGCTTTCGTCGAATGTTTTTTTTACGTCAGATTCTGAAATATTTCGTGTTTTGATCAAGTTAATTTTGTTGGCCAACTGTCGATCGCAATGATCCTTAAGTAATCCGTAAAAATCCGTACAAGCACTACAATTCATCACAAAATCTCATCCAAAGAATGACAAATTCTGGAGTAAAGGAAGTATGGCGTTTCGAATAGAGTAAGCAAGATCTGCTTCGCGCACGACATTTACCTGCTGTAATGATGACTCGGAACTATGTCTTGTTGGCAAAAGATTTACACG